AAAGCCATTTCGCAGAGAAACGAGCATAGCCTTCTTACTCGGAGCCTCGGCTAACCAACCCAAGCCTTACAAGTCTTAAGCAGGCGCTTATCTCTAATTTATGTGGCTCTTAAGTACAACGCTCAGTGACTACTATGAGCAACTTGCAGCAAAATGGCTGCAGTCCCTCCCTTCCTAGAAACGTGCAGATATGCACCAAAACAGGCATTTTGCTGCAAAAACCTGACAGTCAGCAGGCTCCAGCCGGCCGGCAGGAGGGGAGGACAGCAGATGGGGGAAGTACGAGAGAAGGGAGGATGCAAGAAGCGCTAACAGCTGCTTCACCGCTCCGCAGCTGAGCTTTTGGGAAGGATGTGCTGCAGGTCACAGCAAACACATCCTCCAAGAGCTTCGCTGAAGCCCTGAGTCTTCCTCCCCGTGCCATCTGGCCACTGCACAAGAGCAAAATGGTTGGTTTTTTTTCTTTCCCTGCAGCCTATGAATTATTTGAACGCGCGAGCTCACCTCCACGGACAAAGAAAGGGCTGCCCGCCCACCCGCGAGCAAATGCTCAGCCAAGTGATAAACAGGATCGGGGAGAACAGCGAGGTGGCTTCCCAGTCCGCCCGGCTTACCACCCCCCGAGTGCTGGGGGGACAGCTAGCCCCCAGAATAAAGTATATTTTCCATCACTGTTCCAGAAACGTAGATCGACTCTGATGCGTTATTTCTTTCTGAGAACATCTATCTGCAGGTTGATTAAAAAAGGGAAACAGAAACAAAAATGATGCCTAATGAACAAGCATCTTTCCTGTCAGTAGCTCATTAACTCATGCGATCCTTTGGCAAGCTTGGCTGGGAAAAATCTGAGAGTCGAAGAGCCAGGCTGTCTACAGGAAAATGAGATTTAAAGGAAAAAAAGCATGCATTATATTAGGCCAGAGAAAGCTTTCACTAGTTGCAACAGCTCCTGAGGTTGCTCTCTGATAGTCCTCCCCTCTCGGACCACTAAAAGGGATAAGCAGTGGTTTAACCAAACAAATTACCGTGCTAGCTCCTTGGTGAGACACGAGAGGGGCACGAGCCTCTTTGGATGCCGCAGGGCTGGTGCAGACCCCAGCCGCAGGCAGTCCTGCCCGCAGCCCCAGTTTGTTGTCAAAGCCTTAATGCAACAGCTCTTGTGGCCAGAAACAACCTTCCAAGCAGAGGTTTGCCCCACTCCCCTCCCGCACCGCGCTCGCTCCGGGGCTGAGGGATGGTGGCACGTACCGATGTGCTGGGCGCAGGTGTCGCAGTACTCGGCGTAGAGGGACTCGAAGCAGCTGCAGCAGTAGGGCCTGCCGTCCTTCATGATGTACCTCTGCCCCCCCAGCACCGTCTCGCATTCAAAGCAGCAGAAGTGCTTCATGTGCCAGTGCCGCCCTTCGGCCTCGGTGCATTCGTCGGCAAAAATGATCTGTGGAGGGGGAAACACAAATGTGAAGCAGAGTCGGTCAGAGAGGGGACCTGGGACGCGGGCACCAACCTTCGTGTCTCCTGCCCGTGCAGGCAGCTGTGCCCCTTTGCTCACACAGCCTCCAAATTTTACAGCTAACCCTCCCGTCCTGCACGGGAAACTCCCGTGGTTTGGCATGCGGCAGGGGCACCCATCACTTCTTAAGGAAATACATTAAAATGCAAATACCTCAGGACCGCGTTAGTGCACGGACTACAAAGCGTTAAGGCAGAGCTCGCAGTAACGTGCTCGTAAGCACATCCATCAGCGGGAGGGGTCGATCAGGATAATAAACACGCTTATATACAACCTATTGATCTGGTGGTCTTTTGAAGAACAGAGCAGCCACTTACTAAAACAGATTTACCGATCTCTGAAACAGGGACCTGAGTACAAAGGATGACCGAAAACCCAAGGAGAAGTAGCAGCTCTCTGGAGGGGAGAGAAGACGGGGCTACCTGGCTCGTCACCATCGTCTCTACCCCAGCCTGTGTGCTTATAAACCTGATGGCAGTCGTTATACCAGTGGGGAAACTGAGGCATGGAGGGCTGTTAAGGGTGGGCTGGTGAAGAAGCCATTTAAAATGTTTTCAGCAGATGCTTTCTTGCTGTCTCTGCTTCCCAACCCCACGCCATCTCCGCTCCCAAAGCCAAGCCAGGGGAGCAAGCGGTGGCCCAGTTCCGCTCCCTGGCTCCCTGCCCCGGCACAGGTCACACCAAAAACTTTTCCCCCGCAGTTCCTCTTATCCCAGAGTTCCTCCTTCTTGCAATTAGTGCCGGATGTTTCAGGGGAAAAAGTGCGTGTTAAAGAAGGAGCTGGATGAAAAGACTTGTACAAGAATTTGCAAGGATAAAAAGTACACGAAAAAAAATTACCCAGCCTAAGCCACAAGGAAATAGGGCCAGTCAAATGGTTAGGAGTTGTTTTTTTGCTGGTAACGTTACAAATTTAATTGGATACATACGTCAACGTTCTTTATATTTGAAGTGCATATAGCCTTGGATATTTACTATTACACGCTTGCATAGATGGGACGTGGTATTTTATAGTACATATGGTTTTCCACACTATGGTTTTCATAACTTTAAAAGCCAGAACAATTTCCTTCACCAGCCTTTTAAACAGAGATTGACACTTGAGAAACGCTCAGATGCAAGACTGTACGGTTTTCTATATTCGTTTTGTATTCCATTTGTTCAGCTTCCTATAGCCCGTTAATCTCCTCTCTTAAAGCCTATTTCAGCTCGGCGTGTACTCAAACACTACTGCCTTGTAGGAAACGCAGCATTCACCCCACCAGAGGCTTCTTCTGGGGGAACAGAAGAGAAAGGAAGACCACCACACACAGCTGGGCTAAAATCACACAGCACGGGGGGTTACTTGAAACGCTCATGGAAAGCCCTCCCTACGCGTAGATGAGGATCCCTCTCAGAACAGCCCTAGGCAGTTTGCAACTAAAAATCCCCGAGATGCTCACCTGAAACCCCAGGAAAAGCTTGCATGAACCCTGGGGCAAAGCCAAACTATCGTATTTTGTGCGTGCACGCCTCCGAGCAGATACTCCTCCCTATGCTAACGCACCCACCACCGTCAGGGTGGATGGAGGGGAAATACCCTCCAGTTGGCAAGGGGAACCCCCTCGTGCCATCCCCGCGGGCAGCATCCGTGGCAGAAGCCGGGGCCAGCTGGCTCTTACCTCGTCGCACGCCGCGCAGCGGGGCTTGAGGCACTCGGCGTGGTGCCTGCCGCAGTAGATCTTCCCATCCTGGTAGAAGTAGATCAGGTCGACCAGCAGCTCGTTGCAGACGCTGCAGATGAAGCAGGGAGGGATGCCCCGCTCGCGAGGCGAAGACGGCCATGTCCCCTCCGTTGATCTGGCCGCCGCACTGTCAGAAAAGCCGGTGATTAACGGGGGGGCGGGTGAGCCCGCTGGCGCCCATCGCCAGCCAGCTGCTTTTGCAACCGCGGCAGAAGAAGGTGCTAATTCACAGCTCCTTTCTGGTGTCCCTTAATCTCTTTTCATCCCCATTTTACGGCCAGGATATCAACAGCTTCCCCCCTGCACGAGGCTGACGTGACTGCTCCACATCAAATACTGCGGGGTGCTCTTTGCACGGGCCCCGATGGACCCCAGTGCTCTTAGCTGGCAGGGGGCACGGGGCGAGTGCTGCTTTTGTGAGCTTCGCTTAACTTTGCTGATTAAAAAGCCGCCCTGCTTGTGCCGGTTCGTCAGCCGCTACCCACCTGCTCGCAGATGGCTCCCGTCATGGTCACGGGGAACGGCCGGACATTGCCTCTCCCTAAATTTTCCCTCTTCCTTTGATTGCTGAAGAGTTTGAGCTCCCTCTTCTCCTCCTCATCCAACGAATTGCAATAGCGGACCTAAAAAACACAAGCGATGCTCGGTGTTACGGGTGTCCCTGGCTCCCCGGCCAGCGAGCTGCAGTCCCAGGGGCTCTGCAAACCTCTGCGAGGGGGTTACACGAACGGACTCCGTCCTCGGCTTAGGGGAGGCTGGAGAAACACTGCTGTCTGGGCTTCAGTCAGCCCAGGGTTCGGCCAAAATTTCAAGAGGTAGAGATGAGAAGAAAGGGCAGCAGGAAGGTTGCTCTCCAAGCACTAGGTTTCTAGGAAAGTCTTAAAAGTTGGGTCCTCTGAGCCTCACCCAGACTGATGGTTTTCCTGCTTTCTCCTTATGGCAGAGGTCTTACAGCAGCTTCAAAATGTTTTATTGGCATTTCTACAGCGCAGCCAGTTTTCCCTGTGTAAACGAGGGAGTTCCAGCTATTTGGGACCTCCAACTATTCTTCCAGCGCAGGGTCAAGTTTGCACATATGCAAAACCTCTGCGTTGGAAGGTAATAAGGAAATAAGTAAAATAAGAGGATATAAACAATGAACGAGGCAATTTCCCCGAAGCTTATGAAACTGTGAGGTTTTCCTGGCTATTTTCATCCTGCAGGCTTAGCTCTTGGCTCGTTGCACCTCAATGGAGAATACGACTGAAGAGCCAAGGTGGCCACGTGTAGCACCAGTGCCCAATCCAGCCTCCGTTACTTTGGAGAGCAGGCTCATGGAGCCGAGCAGGATTATTCACATGAGCAACCAACGCACCTGGAATTTTCAAAGGAGCAAAACTGAGCACGAGGGGAAACTGGATGTAAAATCTGCCAGTTTGCAGAAAATACATTCAAGCTCGTGCCTCCAGCTTGCAGCAGCACGGGCTGCAGCAGCAGCATTCATGTGCATTTATTCCGATGTTCCTTGGCTGTCGGAGGCTGTGGGTTTTCAGCGGCTGCCAGGGAAGGCAGGCAGGCAGGTTGGGGCCCAAGGGTGCACGGGAAGAAGCCCCTGCCCGGTGCCTGGAGCTCCCCCGGCGCTGGCAGCACCGCGCTGTGCCCATGGCACCCAGCCACGCGCAGGCAAACTCGTTAAAATCTGACCTAGATCAAACAAGTTACCTGCACATATTTTCCAGAGCGGCTTCTTCAGAAAGCAGCATGAAAATCATTTTTTTTTTGTTTACACAGGGAAATTTTGTGGGCTACCAGAAGCCAATGTTCTCACTGGCGAGAACAGGACGTCAAAGACCGGACCCTTTTTGCTGCCTCGCATCTTTCTTGCGAGATGCAAGAAGGTTTATTAGCTCTGGCCGGTCTTGTCTCAACCTCTGGCTTGCCAGGCTCTCCCAGCTCGCGAGGCTCGGCCCGAGTGAAACCCCTCCTCGGCACACGCACTCCCACTCCCAAGGTGAGTCGGAAGCAGCACTTGGGAAAAGGCTTTTGCAACTTCGGATCTGGCTCTAGCTGATCTCAACAGCATTTCAAGCCACTTTTAACGCGGCTTTGGCCTCTGAGGGCTGAGAAAGTGCTTTTATTTTAGAGAACTGAAGAAGAATGATTTAAAAAATTTTAACTTTAGAAACAAACAACTCCCCCCCACCTCCAACACAATCCAAGCAGGGAGCAAATATGGCACTTAACTAGCAACATGACCGAACTCCAAGT